TGTGAGGGGAATGGGAAAAAAACAAGGAGAGAAATGAATTACAGTAGATGGGGTAGAGAGAGAAGATGGGAGGGGAGGGGAGGGGGGATAGTAGAGGATAGGAAAGGTAGCAGAATACAACAGTTACTATTAGGGAATTATGTAAAAATGTGGATGTGTAACCGATGTGATTCTGCAATCTTTGTAATATTTTGAATAACCAATAAAAAAATAAAAAATAAAATAAAATAATTAAACAATTTCCATAGACTTATAAAAGGATTGAGATAAATACTAGGAAACTCTTGACAATCACAAGAACATTTTCCTATGCTATTTAACAAGGGTAGTTCTATAAAGTCCCAAAATAAAGTTAATATTTGCCACCATTAAATATATCAAACTCCCAATACCAAAATATGCTAAAAGGAACATGCAATGTGGAAGCTGTACCAAAGAAAACAGCATCAGGCTCTTGAATATTGCAAAGTGTCTATAGAAGTTTTCTTAGGTGTGTCTATGAGAAAGAAACTTCCTTTCAAAAGAGTCATTATAATGGGAAGGTCAACAGAAAAAGTGTAATTTTTAAAAATCTTTTCATTCTATCCTTTTCAAATGTAGATGTAAAAGAGAAAAATCTAAACATAATTTTAAAAAATATTAGCTTATGAATAAAAAAGATGAGTGGTGCATTCTGATGCATAACAACCATAATTTTAGTAGTGAAAATTTGTACACATTCATAGAATTGGCTATTAAAATAATTACCAACTGGGATACCTATTCATTCAGGCTATTGCCTGTGGCTGTAGATGATCATTTTCACTGCTATATTGTATTTTGTTGTATAAATACTAGTAGTAGGACATTTAGATGGTTTCCTTTTAAGGATCTTTTATGAACAATGATACTATAAAAGTTCCTGCAGATATTTTAGTATACATAAGCATACATTTCTAATAGGCATATACATAGAAATGGAACTGCTGGAATATGCTTATGACTGGATGTCCAACTTTATATAAAATGCCAAATTATTCTATAAAATAGTGGTACTATTTTATATTTCCATGGCTGTGTATGAGACATCCTGTTTCCCTATATCCTTATAAAACTTATTGCTTTTTTTTCCTAAATGTTTATAATTCTAGTCATATCCCATTGTGCTTTAATTTTCATTTCCCTGTTGGGTAATGCTGGGCATATTTTCATATATTTATTTGCCATTTGGAAMGCTTTTCTGCAAAGTACCTAGTTAATCTGCTTGTCTATGTTTCTTTTTTTTTTCTTTGTTTCATTTTGTTTTGTATTAGGTTCTACCTTTTTCGTATTGATTTACAGAAGCACTTCATGTACTCTAGTTACAGGTCCTTTGTTGGTTTGCTTATGTCCTTGACATAGTAAATTTACTTTGCGAAAATTCATTTTGTTTGTATATCAAAGATCAGAAATGACCTAAGTATTCTATCAGGGAATTTTAATGACATCATGCTATATCCATCCACTAAATGAAAATATTAGCTAAAGTTTTTTAAGACTATAGTAACTTACAATTATAACTATGTAATGAGATAATGTTAAGTAGAAGAAGAATACATACATGTCCATTAGGACTATAACTTTGGGGGGAAAAAAAAGGCTGGGTGAAAATATCCAACAACAGTACCAATCCTTGATATGATTACTAAGATGAAAACATGATGGGAATTTCAAATATTTTTTCAATTGTGAAAAATATTTCTATAAAGAGATATTGTTCTTATTCTTAAAGAATCCATATCTGAATAATAATAATGGCATACTAAACACTAGAATAAAAGTTATTTTAAAGTCAATGATACTATATGCAGCACAAATGAAGCTGTCATATACCTATAACAAACTGAMTTATTCATAAATGTAGAATTCAAGCAAATTTTTCCCCCCTTTTTGGTACTCTGGACTGAACCCAGAGATGCTCAACCACTGAGCCTCATCCCTAGCCCTTTTTATTTTGAGACAGAGTCTCACTAAGTTGTTGAGGCTGGTTTGAACTTGTGATCCTCTTGCCTCAGGTTCCAAGTTGCTGGAATTACAAGCATATGCCACCATACACAACCATATTTTTTCCAAAGAGGCATATTAAACTGAATTTTTATGTTTTTTTTAATTTAATTATCCGTACCATATTACTCAAGTGGCCAAGATATCAATATTTATAACATTAAAAACAAACTCATTTCTTAAACATTTTAATTTTTTTAAGGAAAAAAATCATTTTCTAGGTAATATCTCTATAAAATAGTATCAGAACCTATATAAATATTTCATTTCATTTATTTACTTTTTTTTTTTTTTTTTTTTTAACAGTGCTGGGGAATGAATTTAGGACCCTGCACATGCTACGTAAGGGCTCAACCACCGGGTTACAATCCAATCCTAAGAAATTATTACCTGTTGGCTTTTATTAACTTCATTTTCGTAAGTGGAATGTTCTTCAAGAATCACTCTGCARTGGTTTATTAAACTTGTTGTCTGTGAGGTTGACAATGGATCCCAAATGCATTCTACAAAGTCTGAAACAAAGATTTTTAGTGGTGTGCAATTTATTTACTAGATTATTTTATATCTCATGTACAAATAACCAAGGCCTTTAGCACAGACTATTTTCCTCCTTATTTAAGTTAAAATCTATGGCAGTCATTGCCATTACATTTGCACACACCCTCAATTCTTTGTCCTCCTTGTGCTTTGCTGAAATCATCTGGTTAAACCACAACCCTAATTAAATCCACTTGTCTCTGAGTCTGTGTTTGGTATAATTCAGCTAAGATATGCCTGGGGAAAAAGAAATCACATTAAGTTGATCACCATAAAACTCCAATGAGTCCTTAATGTTGGTCAGCAATCACACTTTCTGACCCATTACTTTCCCCTTTGCCTAGATGATTATTGCATACCTTCTGTTACTCTTTTCTCAGCTACTTACTTTACTTCTTGATTTGAGTAAAAAAAAAAAAAAAAAAAAAGGCAATCAGAAGAGAAGCTCCATGATCTTCTACTATGGCATTCATACATCTACCTACACTTCTGCCTGTATGTCTCCGATTCTTATGGATGAAGCACCCACACTCCCAGTTATGGCCAATCCTTTACTTATACATGAGATCCCAACTACTTGGGTTTTCTCAAAGATACTATTCCTGAAATTCTGCCTTTACACTTTGGTATTGTTATCACTTCTACTGGGTTTTTCTCATTAGAAGCAGTCATTTCTGTTGTGTTAAAAATAATACCGGTCTTGARCTAGGTATGGTGCCTGTCACATGCCTGTAATTCCAGCGACTGGGAGGCTAAGGCAGGAAGATCATAAAATTTGAGGCCAGCTTGGGCAACTTAGTGAGATCCTGTCTCAAAAACTACAAAGGGCTGGGAATGTGRMTCAGTGGTAGAGCACTTCTGGATTTAATCCCCACTACCAGGAAAAAAAAAAAAAAAAGTCCCCTCTTAATTCTATTATTCCCCACCCATGCCCAAGTACTACTTCATTTCTCCCCTTCCTTTTAAGACAAAATTCCTCAAACTACTGTCTAAGTTTCTATCTCCATTTTTTCTCTTCCATTATGTTCTTGAATTCCTTTTGCTTACATCTTACCTCCCATCATTCTACCTAAACTGCTTTTATCAAATCACAAGGGATATTCACATAGTAAACTCCAGTGGCTAATTCTAATCCTTACTTGACTGTCAACAATTAAAACAATTCATCATTTTTTTTTTCTTCCTAGAAACCCTTCCTTTACTTGGCTTCTGGGACACCACTTACCTGGTTTCCTACCTACTTCTTTGGCCTTTGTTGTCTGCTCCGTACCTGACATCTAAATGCCAGAAAACCTTAGGACTCAGGTCACTTCTCTTTTCTTTCCTATTTATATTAATTCCCTTAATATTTAGTTATTTTATGGCTTAACTGTAATCAATATGTACATAAATTTCAAATTTCTATCTGACTGGATTGCCCCTTTATAACTCATACATTCAACAATGTAATTGACACTCATTTAGATGTCAGGCAACCCAAACTCAATATGTTTAATATACCTTCCTACCTAGATGTACCTGTCAGTCATCTCCACTTCAAGAAATAACAATGCTCTTCTTCCAATAATCATGGAATTACCACTAATTCCTATCATTATCTCTGCTCCATAACCAAAGCATTAGAAAAAATTTGTTAGTACCACCTTTGAAATATATACAGAATGCAATCACCCCAGGAACCCAGATGGTTTTCATTTTTTATAAAGTGACTTATTTATGGAATTGTTTAATCATAAGAATTTGATTTTTTTCAGGAGAATACTTGGATGAAAAAAAATCTGCTGTATGTATAAACATGACTGTATGACCAATGTGATTCAGCAACCTGTACACTCAGAAAAAGCAGTAATTATACCCCATTTGATTCAAATGTATGATATGTCAAGATCACTGTACTGTCATGTGTAACTAATTAAAAAAAAAAGAAAAAAAAATTAATGGAGTCTGCTGAGAAACTATATAAAGGCAATGGCTTAAATTTTTTTTAATTGTTTTTATTATTTTTTTTAAATACACAACAGTGGAATGCATTTCTATCCTTATTACACATACAGAGCACAATTTTTCGTATCTGTACATAAAGTATGTTCACGTCAATTTTTTAAAAACAGAGTTTTGTAATCTTTTCTATCAAAATTGATTCTGTGACATGGTGAAACAGATCCTTGTCAAGTGCAATTTTAGGTAAAACAAGTGTCTTCAGACTGAAGTCTGAATCATAGGCATTAATCCTAAGTGCYCATAGTTGCAAGTGGCAGATACACAGAAAATACAGTAATTTTCTTTTAATGAAAGGGAAAAGAAAGAGAAAAATCATAAAAGGAGAAGTTAAGAGAAAGAAAGAGATGTGAAGGATGTATGAAAGCATTCTCCTAACAAATGAATTAGGTGTCACAAAAGTAGCAGTAATGTCACAATGCTGAATGATCAGAGTTGTAGAAGTTTGGTAGCCAACCATTTGCCCACGCAAGCATTTTTTTTTTTTTAAATATTGTTTAGTTGTAGATGGCCACAGTATCTTTATTTATTTATTTTTATGTGGTGCTGAGGATCAAACTTAGTTCCTCATGTGTGCTAGGCAAGCGCTCTACCACTAAGCCACAACCCTAGTCCGCCTACAAGCATTTTTAAAACAGTTTAAACTTGACATTGGTTGATCTTTTTTTTTTTTTGTTTTTTAAATATTTATCTTTTAGTTGCAGTTGGACACAATACCTTTATTTCATTTGTTTATTTTTATGTGGTGCTGAGGATCCAACCCAGGGCCTCGCTCGTGCTAATGGGCAAGCGCTCTGCCACTGAGCCACAATCCCAGCCCCTGTTGATATTTACTGCATATAACTTTTCCTTTTGTTACAAAACTTCTGAAAAAAATATAATTGAAGAGAATGATTTTATACTGTCAAAAAGCAAATTAATGTTAGCAAGATTAAAAGGGAGTACCTGTAAGTCGAGGAATAACTGTCTTGTTGATGACTGAAGACAAAATTTTTTTATCAAAACTAGTGTCTCTCTTTGCATCTTCCACACTGTTATCCATAAATTCTTCTATACACGTGAACCATGGCATTTGTTTTAACCCTATGGAATCCAACTTAAAAATGGAATTATAAAAGTTATAAATAAATACTTACACAATAGAGTATTTTAAAACAGTTAACTTTTCCAGTAATCATCAGAATTTTTTCTAAGGATCAAGAAGAAAATATTTTCACATTTTAACACTGTGTATGTAGCATTAGACCACCACTTGGCAGATGTCATGGGTAAGACATAATGTCTATGCAATGTAACAAAAAGCTGCATTGYATGCATTCATTCATTCAGCAAAAAATCAGCAAATGCACATTGAGTCTCAGGACCTTCAGAGCTTACCCTATGGCAAGTGCTCTTGTAGGAGCAAATACATTTGAAATAACCGTGAAATTTGCTTATAAAAATTTAGCGATCTCAAAATTTGCTTCTGGTCTTTTTWAAATTCCATAAACATAAATATGCGATTTGCAAGTGCTTTTAGCTTATTAGAAAATAACATATGACCAGTTATTATTTGTTGAATGCATTAATGAAATGATCTCTGCTAGGCACATAAGTACCCAATTCAGTTTGCATGGTTAACAAATTAGGCTGCTACCCAACTGACTACCTAGCACTTTTTGTTTTGTTTTGTTTTGTTTTGGGTACCAGGGATTGCACTCAAGGGCATTCAATCATTGAGCCACATCCCTAACCCCTTTTTGTATTTTATTTAGAGATAGGGTTTCATTGAATTGCTTAGTGYGCCTCACTATTGCTGAACTTTGAAGCTGGCTTTGAACTCACGATCCTCCTGCTTCAGCCTCCTGAACCACTGGGATTACAAGTATGTGCCAYAGTGCCTGTCTACCTAGCACTTTCTTAGAAATAAACTTGGTTCTGGAACCATGAAGATTATGTGGTCCTGAACCTAACCTGGAGTCTACAGGCATCATGACTAAGAAAAAGAGTAGTGTGTGTGGCCTTAGGTTCAGTCCCCAGCATGGTGGTGGCAGGTAGAGAGAGGCAAAGAGAAGAAATCATTTATTTTGTTAAATCTTTATCCTCAACTTCCCTCTCTTCTAGATTCATTTTCTCATTTCTGTTTGCTGAGTAGGCATGTTCCCAAGGATGTCCCCTATTGTTTCATCATCTATGAAGAAAAAAAAAAACTTCCTATAAAATCCTCTTCATTCTTTCTGCAAAGTCCCTACTACTATGCATGAAATGACTATTCTTCAAATACTCCAGGATCCAACACCTTGGGGGTTATCTTTAATGTAGAGGGTTAGGGTTATTCTCTACATTTYACTACTTCTTAATTTATAACTCCTCTTATAATCAATTCTTTCCTTCTCTTCCCTTTGCCACTATCATGGAATCTGTCACATTGAATTTGGGCTATAAGAATGGCTTTCCAGGGGCTGGGGATGTGGCTCAAGCGGTAGCACGTTCGCCTGGCATGCGTGCGGCCCAGGTTCGATCCTCAGCACCACATACAAACAAAAGATGTTGTGTCTGCTGAGAACTAAAAAAATAAATATTAAAAATAAATTCCCTCTCTCTCTCTCTCCTCTCTCTTAAAAAAAAAAAAAAAAAGAATGGCTTTCCATTTCTTATTTTACTTTCATTCAAGTTAGATAACAAGGAGGGCTAGTTTCAATCTGTTACTCCTTCAATTACTTACCAAAATAAATTCTTATCTGTCAATTTCAGTGTAAACTCCAGCTCCTGAAATAATAGTTCTCCCTTTATATCTTTAATCTCTTATTGTTGAAATCCTTTCCCTCCTCCATGCAGGCCTCCTACCACCTCTTTCCAATATGTTATCTCTAGCTTCAGAGCCCTTGGAACAAGACTTTTATGTTGGATTTCCCCAAACCTATACCACCTTATACTTTTTGGAAGGATTTCAAATAATATATAAAAATTTAGTGATGCTAAGACTGAAAAATTGAGTCACAGCCAAGTAAAGAAGAATGTAGYGTAAAGTACACATTTCCAGACTATTGTTCCAAAGCTCTGAATTTCAGCTCCAACTCTTAGGGTAAGGTGTTTTATAGCTAACCTGATAGCAAAAGAATTTAAGAAATTATTGTGACCAGGATAATCACATGTTAAGCGTAAATACCTTAAGAGGATTCCAATCAAGCAACTGGACTCGTATTAGGGGATTTAAAAGTTTTGGTATGCATAAGCCAATAAAAGCATCATAATAGGAATCAGGAAACTTTTCTCGCCATTGCTGAAATTTCAATAAAATATTCTGGATGTTACAAAAATCWTCATGCACATCTTCAAATACTTTCTTATGATCCTGTAAAATGTCACCTGTAAAAAAGAAAAAAAACCTCTTTAAGTTATGCATTTTAAGTTTTGCTTTCCTTATAAACATAGTCATATATGACTATGTAATCAATTGAGTTAAACACTTTCCTTTGATATTAATATATAATTTTCATAAAAAACTCATGTTAGTAACAAAAGTGATAATATCAATACTAAGAGCAGCTACCATTTAATGAGCCCCTGCTTTTTGCTAAAATACTACATATACATTATCTCATCACCAAGATGGATATAATACTCATTTATAGAAAACAAACAATATCATATATTTAGGAGGTCAATGAATTTGCCCATGACCACACAGAATAAAGCCTTTCTTTGAACTTAAGTCAATTGACTCTAAAGCCCAGACTCTTTTAACCATACACACTGAACCTTCTCATGATGTCAATAATGGTTTCACTAAACTCAATTGCTTTAAAGTAAAAATAATTAGCATTGGAAGTAGGAGGTAAATAAATGAAACTAAAATATTCATTTGTAACAAAAGAAGGGAAAAAACTGAGGGGAAAAAACTATATAGATGCAAGAATATTCACAATGTTCCTTAGCCATTATTTTCTATTTTTCCAGAGAGTGGAAAAGTCTTAAAGGACAAAATCATTTTTCCTTTTTCTTGAATTTTCCCAAATGTTTTATATAACTTATGTATTTAAAGGYAATCATAGCAAAGCATTTCATCTTTGGAAACATGGTAATTGACCTTGGCTTTTTTGGAAGTTGGTCATCTCTGCAGAAGACAGCTCATCATCACTAGATGTCCCTTCCTGATGGTTATAGTTACCAGAAAGTGCTCTTGCTTGTCTTCTTTGTATCCTATAATTTGTAATTGAAGTGAATCACAAATAAATGGAAAGCAAATAGTTCTTGCCAAAATAAATTCTTTAAAACAAAAAGTAGCAGTAATTTTATAATTTATACATAATGGCCAGAAACACACCATAATATTAGGATACAATTTTATGTTACTATTTTTGAAACTTTCAGCTTCATAAGTTTGTGATGGTGGTTCTTCCTCTTTTTTCTTATAAGAATTTCCTGGCAAAAACATCCTTGTGGGTTAACCAGTTACTGAAGAAGGGGTAACAATAAAATTAGAACCTGCTTCTAGTTAAGAATAATTCCCAGCTTGATATATGTCAATTTTTTCCCCCTTCCTTTCAACAGATTCAAATATATCTTTAAAGCAGCTGAGAACTGCTTACTAAATTTTGGTCTTATATTATTTTCACAAATTAACATGTCAGATTAGGTTTAATTATATCATACAGTTAATTCTATTTAAATAGTGAAAAGTACTTGCTCACTGATGCTTTAAGTCTTCACTTTCTATAGGTACCTTCGAGATTCAATATCTTCTAAAATGCACTGAGATTTTTCATCTATAGCCAAACTTCCATTTGTTGATGTCTCAGCTTTGCCTGTTAATGAATAAAATTCATTTTGTACTGCAAATTTTCAAAAGAAAAAAGAAACACCTTGAAAAACAAAGGTAATATCATGAATGCATATACATACAAGTACATATAAACACACAAAATATGCTTACATCGCATATTTCATTGTTCAATTAATTGTTCACGTTAATTCCCTCTCACAATGTTACTAGGTCTCAAGTTTCTTAGCCCAAAAAAGGTACCTTGATTGGTAGTTTAGTACTTGATAATAACAAGATAATTTTATTTCCATGTTTCTTTTCCTCATATTCTTTTTCAATAATTTTTACTGATTTTCTCTATAGCCAAACACTAGAAATATTTGCATTGCCAACACCTTATTCATATTGTTATCTATTTTAGTATAGATCATTATTTATGACTGAGAAATGCGATTTAATCCCTTTCACTATCCCCTGATAGCACTTCAATGAGAGGAAGACATCTCTGAAAATACAAAACCAGTGTAAGAACTAACATGAAATATACAAATTTCATATAGTGAAATCTTACAGATGAACCTATACTAAAATTCACCATAACAAGTTGGTTGAAGAGTCCTTAAAACTACAAAGTTAGATCTCTAACAGTCTGTAGATTTATATGAACTCATCTTAAAACATTTCATTAAATGGCCATATAAATATTTTGCTTAAAAATACTAAGGGATTAGAAGTTATAATATTTGTTTTTTAATGCTAGATTTAATTTATTTTGAAACTCTACCTGTAAATGTTTTGTTTTTGAAAGGGAACAGAGGAAAGATTAGTGAGAAAATACACAAAAAGCTTACTTTTTTTTTTAAGTAAGAATAAAACCATTTTTATTCTCCAATGATAATATGTATCTTCATGAATAATAAACCGTATTAAACATAAAAAACACTAACGTGATAACTGTTGTAAGTACGCTGATTCATGTTTTAATTCATCTTGCCTGCGCTTCATCAAGGTCATGGCTTGTTTTAAAAGAAGTGCATGCATGGATGATTCTATTTCTTGGATGTTGATCATCTGAAATACATATACAAGTAACATCTACAGGTCACTGATAAKCAGTTTTAAAAGTATAAATAAGTAATATTTAGAAAATATATAAACATTATGTGTTCAATTTTCATATGAAGAGACATTTCTAATACTATTGCATCTTAATTATAAAACATTGTGAGCAAAAGACCTAGCTGCAAATACTTTTAATATCAAAAACCAGAAAATCACCTTTTTCTACTAGAACAAGTATAAAAAGATAATGAAACCAAATGAGATAGAGTGAGGAACATGGATGTTTATGATAAAAACATAAGAGATAGAAAAGCAGGAGGAAATGAGGGGTGCAGCTGTTTTTCCCCAGGCTGAGGAGAAGATAGTAGGGGCACTTGAAGCTGGTGAAATCTGAAGAACTGGAGAATGAGAAAGAGAACTAACCAGGGATGAGTATGAAAGTCGTGATGCAGAAACACAGGCTAGTTGAATTTGGAACTTCTATTTCTTGGACAATAGTTGCTTTTTTATTCCAGTGATGTTCCACAGCTGCTGCTATGGATAGATCGATCAATGGGTGGACTGGTAAGATTTTAAATGTGTAATTTTTCAAGGATGAATGAAGAAAAAAATTACATTTTAATTGATACATTAGAATGCAACTACCATATGGTATAGAAAGGCAATCAACTTAAAACAACAGAGGACAAAGCATTTAATTGACAACATTTTAATGATTTAAGTAATATGGAAAGTAGAACGTGATTTATTTTTAAATAACCTAYCTTTTTAAGGATAATTGAAGATCCCAGTGTAAGAACTTATTGTGCATAAAACAAAGCCAAAAAGTATAAGCTGAAACATTTATAAATCTGATCATATAAAAATTTCAAAATTTATGAATATATCCAGGCATGGTAGGATGTGCCTGTGATCTTAGTGATTTGGGAGGCTGAGCAAGAGGATGGCAAGTTTGAGGTCAGCCTCAGTGACTTAGTAAGACCCTATCTCAAAATAAAAACTAAGAAAAGGGTGGATGTGGATCAGTGGTAAAGGACCCATAGGTACAATCCTAGGTTACCTCTACCCCGCCCCCTACCCTCAACACACAAGAGGAATTGTTCAACCTAAGAAAACTAAAAGGAAATAAAAAGAAAAGAAAAAAAATTCCCATTAAGAACCAACATAATAACAAGGCAGAGATAATCTGCAAGAAGAAAAACTACATATAGCTGATAAAATAAAGGGTTTGAGATCAGAATATAATATAGAAGAACAAAATTCATTTTTTCCTCATCTAGTCAACTAATAAAACTGACACAACCTTTCTAGAGGACAGTTTGGCAATATGTTTCATAAGCCTTAAAAATATTTGTACTTAATAATTCATTTTCTTTGACTTGTTTCATTTTCTAGGAATTATTAAACATAAAATTTTATTATAAAATACATAAGATTTTATACAGCATTACTTATAGCATCAAAACAAGTACAAATCCCCTTAATGTCCAAAGGGACTATGTTAAAAACCTGTAGAATGAATGGATAGATAAAGAAAATACACACACACACACACACACACACACACACACACACGCCATGGAGTTTTATTCATGAAGAAGAATGAAATTGTGTCACTTGCAGGAAAATGGATGGAATTTGAGAGTGCTGTTAAGCAAAATAAGACAAACCCAGAAAATTAAAGGTCATATGTTTTCTCTCACTGAAGCTAGAGAGAAAAAAAGAAAAAGAAAAGGTGGGAGGAATCTCATGAAAATAGAAGGGAAACCCAGGAAGAGAGAGGAAGGGAACCTTGTGAGAAGGGGAAAGGGAAGGTATTGAGAAATATGATTGACAAATTATATTGTACTGTGCATATACAGAAACATGTAACAACAAATCCTACTATTATGCATAATTATATCAATAAAAAATAAGAGGAAAAAATATGTAGGAAAAGGCTATCTAAAGAACTCAAAAAACTTAACACCAAATAAACAAATAACCCAATTAATAAATGGGCTAAAGAACTTAATAGGCACTTCACAGAAGAAATAACAATTAGTCAACAAATATATGAAAACATATTCAACATTTCTAGAAATTAAAGAAATGCAAATTAAAACTATACTGAGTTTTCATTTCATTCCAGTCAAAATGGATAATTATCAAGAATACACCTAACAATAAATGTTGGTGTGGATGTGAGGAAAAAGGTATATTCATACATTGCTGGTAGGACTGCAAATTCTTGCAACTACTCTAAAAAGCTGTATGGAGATTCCTCAGAAAATCTGGAATGGAACCACCATTTGACCCCGTTATCCCACTCCTTGGCATATACCCAAAGGACTTAAAATTAGCGTACTATAGTGATACAGTCATATCAATGTTTATAGCAGCTAAATTCACAATAGCTAGGCTATGGAACCAATCTAAGTGCTCTTWAACAGATGAATGGATCAAGAAAATATGATATATATCCACAATGGAATATTACTCAGTCATAAGAGAAGAATGAAATTATGGCATTTGCTAGTAAATGGAGGTAACTGGAGACTATCATGCTAAATGAAAAAAGCCAATCCCAAAAAAATAAAGGCCAAATGTTCTCTCTGATATGTGGATGCTAACACTCAATGGGGACAGGGATAGAATTCAATGGAATTGACAAAGGGGAATGAAGGGAAGGGAAGGGGTATGGGAATAGGAAAGATAGTAGAATGTACTGCACATAAATTTCCTATGTTCACATATGAATACACAACTAGTGAAACTCCACATCACATATAACCACAAGAACAGGAAGTTATACTCCATGTATGTATCATATGTCAAAATATACTTCACTGCCATATAACTAAAAAAACAAATACTTTTTTTTTTTTTTTTAAAGTTCCTAATTGCCATAGCTGGAACAATTTGAGAAATAAATTAGGTGAAATAGTTTCTAGTTAGACAATACCTAACTAGAATACCTTTCTAGTGAGAAATACCTATAACCTATAATTAGGTGAAATAGTTTCTAGTTAGACAATACCTAACTAGAATACCTTTCTAGTGAGAAATACCTATAACCCTTTACTGATAAAATAAATTATTGACTAATAAATGGGGATAATAGAAAAAAATGTAGAAAAAATACTTATAGAAAATTAAAAGCACATAATAAGATTTAGAATATTATTTAGTTGTATAATAAAGGTGTTTTTCCCAGAATGATAGATTTATATGTACCTTTTCATTAAGACAGTCAATTATATTTTCCACGTAGATTTTCATGCTTTTATAGAATTTATAATTTGCAGCTTGACTTGATGAATTCTCAAGGTTCTCAATTGTACTCTTTGAGCTCTTGACATCTTGCATGTATTTTTCATATTCTCTCTGATGTGAGCGATGAGTATCTTGTAGTAATGTTAATCTAAATAAGTAAAATAAAAATGCTTTATTTTTCCAATCTTTCCTTTTGAAGTAGTACTCTATTGCAAACATTTTCAAAGACAACCAAGGGAACTGATAATCTTATAAATCTAAGTTTATTAGACTTGAAAAGGATATCATTACAGTTACAGAGCTCTCAAAGTGGAAAGAGATGACACTGGTAAGTTTTTAAATTTTAATTTAATTTTAATTTTTTACTTCTAGACATATCTTCTCTTAACTGTWAATCCTTTCTTTTCCCCCATTTTTAAAAATTGGCAAATTATAGTTGTACAGACACTGCTAGGTTTTTAAAGGTGAGGGCTAATCCATAGGCTAGTTTTAGATTAGAAGTTAATGAGTATGCTGGGATTCATGAGAATTTATAAACTGTGAGATCCAAGAAGAATCAATCATTTTAAATTTGAATCCAAGGAGACCATGTAGAATTATTCTTAGATTAAATTTGTGATCTTTCTAGGAATATAGATATCTGAGTGAGCTGGCATTAATGTCATTTAAAGACATAATGGATACAAATTTTCTGTTTTGGATTTGAAATGCTTTTGTTTTGTCATTGGAATTTGTTATTCCTTCAAGCAAATCCCTTACTGGTTGCATTTTGATATATGCTGCCTATTAAAGTCAAGACAGCCCACATTCTTTTAGCCCTTGGGAATATCATACCCATCAACTGATGTTACATGAAGAAACTGTTAAATACAATTCAATGACTGCTGATCTTTTCATTGTTTATCAGTTACCTGTCATAGATAAATGCCAATGGAGGAAAAAGAAACACATTTGTTTAAAAATATCTGGAATGTATTTTCTAATATTTGACTTTCTGAATACTTTAGAATGAGAGAACTAAAAATGAGAGAATTAAATAAAAAATACAATTTCATAGTATTTGGATTTGAATCAGGATTAAAATATTATTCTATTCCTGCTAACCTGGTCCATAAAAGACACTCTAGTACTTGCTTAAGCCAAACGTGCTCTCCCMAAGGTTTACTATCTTTTCCTTTCAGTCTTTGTTTTATGTAAAGAACAGTGAGAGTTAAGATATAAATCAAGATAATAATGTACAGCAGGCACCGTTAATAAAATATTGTTTTAATCAAGTAGAATATTATCAGTCATAGCAGTGAATTTGTAAGTAGTTACAATGTGAAAAATTTCTAGATATACCAAACAACATAGATAGTGGGCTTTCTCYATTATATTAAAAAATGGGGCAATATATAAATATATATGCACACAAAAAAATAATTAACAATGTGAATGAGAGGACCTACAAAATGGGAGAAAGTATTTGCTAGATACTCTTCTGACAGAATTAATATCCAGAATATATGAAAAACTCAAAAAACTTAACACCAAAAAAGAAAAAAAATCCAATTAATAATTGGGCAAATGAACTAAACAGGCACTTCTCAAAAGAAGAAATAAAAATGACCCACAAATATATGAAAAAAAATGTTCAATATCATCAGCAATTTGGAAAATGGAAATCAAAACTACATTGAGATTTTTATCTTATTCCAGTCACAATAGCAATTGTCAAGAGTATGAATGATTGATTAATGCTGGAGAATATGTGGAGAAAAAGAACACTTTTACACTGCTGGTGGGATTGTAAATTAGTACAACCATTATGGAAATCAATGTGAAGGTTGCTCAAAAGATTAGGGATAGAACCGCCAGCTGACCCAGGTATATCYCTGCTCAGTTATTTATTCTAAAGAATTAAAGTCATCATACTACAGTGATACAGGCATACCCATGTTTATAGCAGCACAATTCACAACAGTCAAAGTATGGAACCAGCCTAAATGCACATCAATAGATGAATAAATTAAATGTGGTATACATACATACATACATATATATATATATACATACATACACACACACAGTGGAGTTGTATTCAGCCATAAAGAAGAAGGTAAATATGTTATTTGCAGGAAAATGGATGAAGACTCGAGAACACTGTGTTAAGTGAAATAAATCAGAAATAATTCAGAAAGTCAAGGGTTATGTTTTCTTTCATATGTGGAAGCTAGAGAGGAAAAAGGAAAAGAAGGGTGGTCAGGAGAATCTCATGAAAATGGAAGGGAGATCTGTAGAAAAGAGGAAAGGGACCAGGAGGAGAGAGGAGAGGAAAAGGGGAAATACTGGAGAATGATATTAGTCAAATTACATTATTATATTTTGTGCTTGTATGAATATGTAATAATGAATCCTTCCATTATGTATAATGCACAGATAAAAATAGGAAAAAAATATACATGTACTTATACAGATACAGATCATTTCTGGAAGGAAACATAAGAAACTGGCAGCWATAGTTCTCCTTTTCTTTGTGTATTCTTTTGTACTGGTTGGTTTTTATTTTTCTTTAAACCATGAAGATATATTTTCTTTAAAAAATATAGAACCTTGTGAATAAGAAAATAGAATATGACAATAAAGTTAAAGTAACATTTACCACGATTAAATGAAATAGTAATCTAAACCAGTGATTCATTGTCTTTGTTCTGTGCTGTCACTCTTGCAAGACAATTATGAACAACCATTCAGGTCTGGTTTATATACAAGTCTAGAAGCAAGAGCCATTCTAGCTGTTTTCTTCTAAAAAGGAAATTGTATCASAATGCCATTAAATAATAATAGTTATTTCAGAAATATCTTGAATATGTGACAGTAATCTCACTTAACATCATTATTAAAAAAACACTTTAGCTGGGCACTGCTGGTGCATGCCTGTAATCCCAGCATGAGGCAGGAAAATTGCAAGTTCAAAGCCAGACTCAGCAACTTAGTGAGGCCCTAAGCAACTCTGTGAGACCTTGTCTCTAAATAAAATACAAAAAAGGGTTGGGGATGTGGCTCAGTGGTTAATTGCCCTTGGTTTCAACCCCAGTACCAACCTCCCTGCCTAAAAAAATAAAAAAAAAAACACTACAAAAAAAAAACCTCAGAAACATTGATTTAGAATAGGTGTTGGCAAACTTTTTGTGTACAAGGCCAGAGAGTAAATATTTTAGTCTTTTTAAAGGCTAGATGACTGCTGTTGCAACTATTTAACTCTGTGTTGTAGACAAAAGTAGCCACAGACAATATGTAAATAAACAAGCATGACTGTGTTCCAAAAAAACTTTACTAATAAAAGTTGGAGAAACTGGTAGTTTGTCAATCCCCTAGAAACCAGAAATAACTTAATATCTAAAAACTTATACATGTACTAATAGTTAATGATATGTCAATTATTTGGACAAATATGATATATTTTAAAACTTAAGGGTCATTTAACAATGTAGAATAATGCTTATAATTATTAAATAAAAAAACCAGAATTTTAGGATTACTGATTTCAACTATGTAATACATATCTGTCAAAAAGACTGAGAATACAAACACAAGTCAAATCAAGTGTATTAGTGCAGTTAACAAATGGTATTTTTGTCCTGTAAATCTATTTGGTATTAATATTTGATAATTAAAAAGAACAGAGTGCTTTTTCACTGTACTAARTGTCTAGACAAATACAAATTTTAAAATCAGTATTACTCACCTGTTATTTAGTTGTTTCTTTATAACTTCTAAATTTACTGGTGGAAATGAAATGGAAGCATCAAACTTCTTCACTGTTTGAGATTTACTACTATGGGAAAGGTCTATATCTCTTCCCTAGAAATAATATGAAAATTTATTTTTTAAAAACATTTCATTTACTTTACAAATGTTAATAGCTTAAAAGGAGACTGGATACACCAAGGTCCCTTCCAGATCAAAAATTTTCTGCCTTTGTAACTTTTATTTTTAAAACAAAATGTTTTTTAAATTCTCAGTTTTAAATTTTAAAACTTAAATCTAGAAAAGACAAATTTTAAAAATCAAAAATTTCCCAGAAGTTTAGTTCTCAAAGTTTTTAAAGCTACCTTTATTCATAGTACAGTGTACTCTAAGCAAGTCATGTGGTTTTTAAAGAAGCAATAGTCTTTGGATGAATGCTACATGAATGATGGCATGGTAGACCAGAACAATGTGATGGAAGCAGCCAGTTAAATGGAAGTTTGGGGGAAGTTTTCTAGGAAAAACTTTTGTTTCTGGCATCTGTCATTTGGGTTTTGTTATTTGCCCAGAAATGCTACTATGGTTTGGGGACATGTTCCCCAAAGGCCCTGTTAAAGGCTTTGTTASCAGCCTGTGGTATTATTGGGATGTAAAGGAGCTTTTAAAAGATGGGACCTGGTGAAAACAAGAGGGGTCACTGGAGGCATGCCCCTTGAAAGGGATATTGGGACCACACACTTCCTCTTCTCTTTTTCACTTTCTGGCCATCTTGGGCGTCCTCTGCTACCATGTGCTCCCATGATAATGTACTAAGTCTTCATAAGCTCAAAGCAATGGGGTCATCTCGTTGTGAATGGAAACCTTCAAAACTGTGAGCCAAAATAACCTTTTTTCTTTACAAATTGATTATCTCAGGTATTTCTTACAGTAACAGAAGGCTCATACAAATGCATCTTTAGCTAACACATTTTATAATATAGATATCCAGGTATGTACTAGTATCCTCTGGCTAATCACAGCTCATCACCACTATGYTTAAAATGTTCAAAGGGTTCTGAAGAGTCTTTGGTTGAAACTAGGACATGTGAAGAAGTGGACCAGATATTTAGCCAAGTCATTAGCTTAATTATTCTTTATATTTTCCATGAAGCACCATCAGTTCTCATCAATTTTCACCAAGTCTCCCACTCATATCCAACTCAGCTGCAAATCCCCCAAACATTCCTGACACTTCAGTTTCAAATCCCTTACATAATAAATACCTTTCAATAATCCAATTTTATTTATTTTTCTTTTTTTTTT